ACAAGCTTAACCTTATGAGGGGTCAAACAACTTTGATGGCCTACCAGCCACATCTTGTCTCTCGACAGTTTGGTTTGGTCCAAACATTGCTCAAGTGTCTATATGACAAGAAGGTTCATGTGATCCTTCCCCATACTATCTATAATGGCATAGAGAGTTCGGCGCATCTTGCTCGACATGCCCACAAATCTCTCCTTACCCCTATTTACTTCGATCCCTCTCACCTCTGCACCCAGGAATTCTATAACTGGTGGTCGAGGCATTACACTATAGAGTTCCTCGATGTTTCTAGATTTATTCGCTTGATTGACCAAACTTTTGTTGATGTGCAGGAGAAGGTCAAGAAAGGTATATCTACTCACATCAAAGAGATTCAAGCCTTCCAGAAGTACTTTGAAATTGCTTATCGACCAAATGATGTTAGTCAAACCATCCGCGAAGCCACTGTTACGCTGAAAGGAAATTTTCAAAGAAAATGGAGAATTCCCACCTAAATTGGGTGAATGGACACTGAACCAATCCATTTCTTTCCTTGCAACAAAATACCTTCCATGTACTTTCCTGACACACCCACATGCTTGGTATGCACCATGGTATGATGATGATAATGATAAATGCTTGGTGTGAAGGACTAGAGCAAAAAAGAGGGTGTGACACATACATTACGAATTTTGTGAACTCAAGTCCTTATTCCCCTTTGACTTGAATTAGAATTTGATTAGAACCCTATAAAGCCGAGTGAAACCATATGATAGGGGAACTCACTGAGATTATTATCTCACCCTAATATTGTTGTTATTTTTCAGGTATTATTTGCAGGTTTAGTATACATGAAGAGTTGTGCACTGATGTTTCAAGGGAAGCTTTTATTGGGATATTCTGTTGTGTATCTTGTACAATGATGGATATTATACTTAGATCTTAGATTTTTATTTTTGGCATTTTCCATATCTTGTACCATATGTTATTTACTTTATTTTGCATATTGGACAAGTATGTAAATGATGACAATAGGAAATTATGATTGTGTCAGTACTAATTAATAATATTTGTATGATATTATTCTAGATATATATTATACGGGTTGTTACAGTTGGTATTAGATTAGGTTGATTCTCGACCTAGCCTTGAAACATCATAAGTAAATCTATTCCAGTCTCATATGTGTGTTATGCTAACATGATTCTTAATGTCACGTTATATAGTATTGGGTCTGATAAACCTAAAGCTATGTGCGTTGTAGGTAGGGTCATAGTTGAGCGACAACGAGGACTCTAAACTATTGGTGGAGCTTGTAATTCAAGGGTAGACTCAAGCTAAGAGTTATCAAGTAAGGAGAAGTGGTGAGCTCGGTTGAAGTTGTAGTAAGAGTTGTGTATTAGGAAGTGTGGAAGTGCAAGATGGTGTTGGGTTAAGAAATCTTATAGTGCTATAGGAGTTAGAAATTTAGGATTTCTGTGGGATAAATGTGTCTAAGTTTGAGAAATGAATGAGCCTATAGTGGATTTGGATTGACCACTAGTATGGACAAGAATTTCAAGTAATCCCATATATCGAGGAAGAAAGGATATCTGGTTGAGTGTATGAAACAAGCTCTGGAAGTGAGGTAGTATATAAGTGTTTCATCCCCTAAGGTCATTAGAGCTTCTAGGAGGGACGAGAGTACTTCATAGAATATGTTCATAATGATACGTTCTAAGTTGTTGAGAGTTTGAAAGATAAGGACATTTAACTTTTGTTGGGAATATAAGCTAGTGGTAAAGTCTAAGGAGAGACTCGAGGACATGACTTTCTATTCTGATTGGAATATGTATGCACTAGGCGAGAAGTAGGAGGTAAACTCAGTATATCCAGTCTTAGAAGAGAGATCAGGTTCAAGATGGTTTGTCAGAGGTTCAGTGTTAGTAAGAGATCATTATGGAATGTCGGGTTACTTATGGATCAATTGAAATAGATCAGTGACAAAGAGAGAAAAAGCATCACACAGATTAACAAAAGTTCTAGTGGGATTGGTTTAAGGAGGTTTGTGTTGAGAGAAAGAGCAAGTAATATGGATTCAAGGATTTCTAGTAGAATGGTTTTATTATTGGAGTTGAGAGAATACCATAGGATGATAAGTGAATGCAGAGTTAGGAGTAGTGTAAACCTTGTAATACAAATATAGTAATGGAATGTAATTAAGATAAAGAGACTATGAAGTTATACGGATTTCATAGACGCCAAGATAGGGCGTGTAGTTGATGATTACTTTCATATTAAAATTTCTAGAGGATGAGGTGTAGTGGAGGAAGTTAAACCTTGGTATTAAGAGAAGTGTGTGATAGTAGCATTGTGGTTACAAATATGTGTAATTGGTTATCTTGTGTTGGGATAAATGGAGGAGTATCACACATTTAAAATTCGAGCAGTGAGTCTTGTGTCTTGAAAATTCTGAGTTTGTGGTAAGAGTTGAAAGACAAACCAAGATTATGTATGAGACTAAGTGTGAATCGTGGAATGGACTATATCAGGTGGTCTTGTAGGTAGTTGATGAGAGTTGTCAGTTACGAGTCGTTCAAATAAGTGGATTTTGTATGGTGAAGTGTTCAATGGATATTGGGTTGGAAGAGAATCTCAATCAATAAGTATGTGGAAGATGTTAAGGTTCTTCAGAGGGGTGTATTATTTTGGTTGTCAAGAGTGAGAGAATTGCCTGTATTTATGAATAGTTGAAGCATCCCGAATCTACCTTTTGATGGACAATGAAAGTTTATTACCTTGATACTCACCAAGGGATCAAGTGAGAGAATGAGGTTTTATTCTTGGTGTGGTTTGTCATGATATCTCTTAGATGACGTGATGAATGTGGTGTTGTGGGAATAATGTTGAGTTATAAATCGTGTTGTTGACCTTATACCATGTCTTTAAATCGTATGGTGGAAAACTTGTGGTTGTTAATCCTTGAAGTTGAGATTGTGTTTGTTGTTGTTCTTATTTCTCTTTATGTTAATATAACAATTTGTGTTGTAGCGATGGTTATCAACAGTATCCTTAATGATTCTCATACTCCACAAGAATTGAGGAAACTTCTGGTATAGTTTATCAAGTTGAGTCTTCATGGCCAGAGTAGAGTTTCTTAGTCATGAATATCACGAGCATGAGTGAATGGAAGTTAGACGGGTGAAAGTATTAAGTGTATCAGATATGTATAAGGCTGAAGTATGGTGTTGGAGTATTAATTATTAGAAGGGGTTTCAAAATATATTTTGATAAGGAGGAATTAGACAGGACTTACCAAGTGGTGATCCCAAGAGATATGTTCAGTATCTTGTAAATGTTAGTTAGGCATAAGTGGATAGTCAGGGTACTACATCTGGACAATTCACCCAGATACATGGTGTCAGAGGTAGATGCCTTTGTACAGTTTCTAAACTAGTAATTGTTTAAGTTGATGAACTCAAGAGCCATATTTCCATACATTGCGAGTTTTGTGAACTCAAGTCCTTATTCCCCTTTGACTTGAGTTAGAATTTGATTAGAACCCTGTAGAGCTGAGTGAACTCATAGGATAGAGGAACTCACTAAGATTATTATCTCAATCCAATATTGTTGTTAGTTTTAAGGTATTATTTGCAAGTTTAGTATACATGAAGAGTTGTGCACTGATGTTTCAACGGAAGTTTGTATTGTGATCTTCTGCTGTGTATCTTGTATAATGACGGATATTGTACTTAGATCTTAAATTTTTATTTTTGGCATTTTCCATATCTTGTACCATATGTTATTTATTTTGTTTTGAATATTGGACAAGTATGTAAATGATGTCAATAAACACTTATGATTGTGTCAGTACCAATTCATAACACTTATATGATATTATTCTAAATAAATATATATATTATACGAGTTGTTACACACACACACATACACACACACACACACACACACACACACACACACACACACACACACACACACACACACACACACACACACACACACACACACACACACACACACACACACACACACACACACACACACATATATATATATATATATATATATATATATATATATATATATATATATATATATATATATATATATATATATATATTCTCATTAGGTCACATAATATGATATGGAGCTTAATAGAATAATTTAGCATTAGATAAATAAGCTTTATTAGTATTTTGATGTATTAGGAATTATTTTAGATTATTATGTTTTCTAGAATGTTCTTAGGACTCTTAAGATTGAGACACTTGGATGGTTAATATTTATTTAGAATAGTATATAACAAGGGTATTATCCTCTCTTGTAAGGCATCAAGAAAATCAAGTGTTATCTTTTATTATCTTTTAGTTTTATCTCTTTTATTTTATTTGTCTTCTTTATGGTTTAGATTTCTCCTATTTTTATTAGTCTTGTTAGGGTTCTTAGTTAGCTTCCTAACAATTGGTGCTTTCATTACTACACTCAATCTCCCTTTCATGGCATATTCTTACTATAATCATCCATTTTATCCCACTTTCACTCACTCATATTATTTCACTGCAACAACCATTTCTACTCCACCATTCATAAACCCATATCCTGTAAATCCCCATTCACAACCTGAAACACCTCAACAATCATCTTTCACCTTTCATGAACATTCAAGTTACCATAGCTACCAACCTCAATCTCAAGATTTCTATTCACAACTAGAAACTCTAAAACAATATTTGATTGAAACTCAGAAAATCGAAAATGAATATAGAGAAGAGATGAAGGAACTGATTCAAAATTTGTGTTATTCTCTCAAAACTTCATCGCAGGAGTTTTCTGATGTCCAAAGAAAATGCACACAAAAGTTTCAAAAATTTGTTGTTGAAAAAAACCCAGAACAACAATAGGAAGAAGAAGAAAAGGATCCTGATTCACTAAAACCATCTCCAAAGATAACTCCATTGATACCTCTAACAGCACATTCGAAGACATCTCCATTGATATTTTCGACTCCGGCGACATCTTCGATGTCTTTTTCGGCGAAATTTTCGAAAGGATTTTCGACATCTTTTCAAGAAACAGCTCTAACATCTTCTTCAGCTACTCTGATGTCACTTCTGATGGCAAATTCAACATCATTTATGTTGTCTTCTACCCTAGCGAAACAACTAGATCTACTTTCGAAAACACCAGATTTGCAACCAAAAACACCAAATTCGTTACCTGAATTACAAAAACCTCCAAAACCACCAAATATACCATGTAAGCTGGTTTTTAAACCTTCATCTTTAAATTCAGATTCTCCTCCTATTTTTCCTCCACCACCGACTAAATTGGCTGATTTGCCACTAAATCTATCGTTTACCAGTCCACGACCTCAGCCTCCACCTGAACCACCACCTGAACTATCAAATTTTCATTTTCATAATTTTAATATTTTTCATTGTTATGATTTTGTTTATTTTGTTTAAAAAAAACAGAAAATAAAAGAAGAAAAAAAGAAGAAGAAGGAAGAATGAAGAAAGAAAGAAGAAGAAAGAAAGAAAAATATATCTTCATGGCACATGGAAACAACTGTCATGTCATGCGCTCCTATGCACTCGCCTCACGTGTAAACAGTGGTGAATCACACATGAAATGTGTGCATGTTGTATGCCACTCAAAATACTGCAAATGAGGTCATGCCACCTCACCTCTAATTGTCTCATTCTTTCCCCACCGAATAGTATATAACAAGGGTATTATCCTCTTTTGTAAGGCATCAAGAAAATCAAATGTTATCTTTTATTATCTTTTGGTTTTATCTCTTTTATTTTATTTGTCTTCTTTATAGTTTAGATTTCTCCTATTTTTATTAATCTTGTTAAGGTTCTTATTTAGCTTCCTAACATTATTATAGATGTAATAAGTACAAATATTATATAGATGTAATAAGTAAGGTTTGGTTGAATGTTATTGTACATTAAATCTATAAAGTATTTTAAATGGTTTTAGACTTATAATTAAAAAACGTACATATACAAATAATTTCTATAAATATTTCAACAATTTGATTAAATTAAACATACTATATTTACTTAAAGATTACAACAACAAAAAATACATATGGATTACATGAACTATGCAGGAACATTATATCAATGAGTCACACAAAGTTGTTTCAATGTAATGGGAGACAATTTAAATCATGAGTTGTATAATAAATGCTACAAGAAATTTTATAGTAATTGATACCTTTTGTAAAAAATAAAACATAATTTCATATAATTCGAATAGTAATATGTGTGTTTCATACATAAAAATAATTATTACTAATTTTGATTTTATATTCTTTTGTGATAAAACTTTTATAATAATTTTTTTTTATTTAACTTCAAAACTAATATTTTGATATATTTAAGTAATATATTTATCAAAACTTTAAAAAAAAACTTAGAATGATAGAGTAATATTTTCTTATAAGTGTCACATCTTAGTACGGCACAATCAAATGGGCGTTTCTAACTTCGTGATTAAATAAAGAATATCGTTATTGTATTCAACAACTACAAGGTTATCCCATCACCTTCTATTTTTATTTATTCATACAAATTATTTTCTCTATTTTTACATATAATAATAATTTTATAACAATAAATAAAGAGAATATATATTTGTTTATATAACATTTATTTTTCTTCTAAAATTATCTTTAAATAATTATCCGTTGATAATTATGTCTAATTGTAGTTGAATTCTAGAATATAATTTTCAATTGTATAGAAGAAGTAGACAAAATTTAAATATATAAGTTGATGCTAATTTTTGCAGCTTTCAAGAAAGAGAGAGATGGAAAAAGGAGAAAAAAAGAGAATAAGTATGAATTTTTAACTACAACTGTTAAATATAATTCATTATTTTGATTTGATTTGAATATTTTGGGTCTTTTATGTTTTGGGCTTTTGTAAACCTAAAACTATAAATAGGGTGTCTTACTTTGTATTCAATAACAACATAACAACAGAACAGATTTCACAGTTGCAGTTAGCAAGTGAAAGTTCAATAAGAAATCTCACAGTTGTGGGTAACACATTCTCTCCAAATACTTCTTCTTTCATTCTTCTCTTTCTTGATTGTTCTTCTTTCTCTTTTGTTGTTCTTGATAATTACTTGTTATTACCATTACTATCATATTGTGGGTTTGTTCATCAATCTTGAGATCAAGATTGAAGGGAATTCTTCATAGGATGTGAGGTGAATTTCCAACATCTGGTATCTAGAGCTCCGGTTGAAAGATTCAAGGAAGGAAGATAGTGATGGCGATGAACTATCCGAACGGCAACTTTCCGGCGACCCTGCCAATTCTCAAGAAAGACAATTATGAGAGTTGGTGCAAGCAGATTAAGGTGATCTTCTGTTATCAAGATCTTTGGGATCTTGTGAAAGATGGAGTAACATCGCTTGGGGAGAACGCAACGGAGGCAGAAAAGGCTGCGCACAAAGAATTGAAGAAGAAGGATTATAAAGTACTCTTTATAATTCATTAGTGTGTCGATCCTGATAACTTTGAAAAGGTTAGTGATGTTGATTCAGCAAAAGAAACATGGGAGATTCTTGGAAAGTCGTTTGGAGGCGCAGAGAAGGTGAAAGAGGTGAGGTTACAAACTCACAAGAGAACCTATGAGTTGCTTCAGATGGAAGACAACGAAAGCATTACAGATTTCTTCACCAGAGTTACGAAGTTGGTGAATCAAATCAAAGTATGTGGAGAAGCGCTAACGACGAAAGCAGTTGTCTCAAAGATTTTGAGATCGTTGGCTCCAAAATTTGACCACGTGGTAGTTGCCATAGAAGAGTCGAAAGATCTATCAGTGTTGACGAAGGAAGAGCTTCAAGGGACTCTTGAGTCTCATGAACAGAGGATGGTTGAGAGAGTTGCAGGAAAGTCGAAAGATATGGCTTTGCAGGCACAGTCAGAAAAGGAAAGAAAAGGCAAAGGTAACTGGAATGGCAACAAAGGAGGAAACCAGTCGAATCAGAAGAAACCTTGGAACCAAGGCAACCAAAGAGGTGGTGCTGCAGGTAAAGGAAGAGGTGGTGGTCGAAAGCCAGACAAAAGCCACATTCAGTGTTTCAATTGCCAGAAGTATGGTCATTATGCTAGTGATTGTCCAGAAAGGAAGAGAAATCAAGAGACTGATGCAAAGCTGGCGAAACATGAAGAAGAAGAAACGTTGCTAATGGTCACAACAAAAGATGAAGAAAGATTCCAAGATCAATGGTACTTGGACTCAGGATGCTCATCACACATGACTGGAAGGAAAGATTGGTTTGTCAACATTAAGCCCTCGTCGAAAAACACAGTGAAGTTTGTAAATGACAACACTCTAGCAGCCGAAGGTGTTGGTGATGTTCTGATTATGAGGAAAGATGGCAAAAGGTCAACAATTTCCAATGTGTTGTACATACCAGGCATGAAGAGTAATTTGCTCAGCATAGGGCAGCTTGTCGAAAAGAACTACAAGGTAGTAGATTAATCTTGAAGGCTTCAATGTCTCAGAATAGGACCTTCAAGATTGGACTCAATGTGATGGAGCACAGATGTCTAGCAACTGCAGCCAGCAGAGACGAGTGGTTATGCCATTTTCGACTAGGTCATCTCAACTTTAATGACACCAGAGAACTGAAGAGAAGAAATATGGTTTCAGGATTACCAGAAATCGACATTCCAAGTGAAGTCTGTGAAGAGTGTGTTCAGTCGAAACAAAACAAGAATAGCTTCAGCAAGGATGCAGGAAGGAAATCGAAAGCAATACTTGAAGTCATATACTCTGATGTATGTGGTCCAATCCAGGTGGATTCGATTGGTGGCAATAGATACTTTGTCACGTTTATAGATGATTACAATCGAAAGTTGTGGACTTACCTCATCAAGAAGAAAAGTGATGTGATTGAGGTATTTTTCAGATTCAAGTCCATGGTCGAAAGACAGAGTGGTCGAAAGCTGAAAATTCTGAGGACTGATGGTGGTGGAGAGTATGTGTCGAAAGAGTTCGATACACTATGTGTAAAAGAAGGGATTGTGCATGAGGTGGTGCCACCTTACACTCCACAGCAAAATGGGATTGCAGAATGCAAGAACAGAACCATCATGAATATGGTGAGAAGTATGTTGAATGGAAAGCATCTACCTAAAGAATTATGGGGAGAAGCAGCTTCGACAGCAACATATATATTGAACAGATGTCCGGCGAAGAAGCTTGAAGGAATCACACCAGAAGAATTTTGGTCTGGTGTCAAGCCTAGTCTCAGTCACTTGAAGGTGTTTGGATCTATAGCACATAGACATGTGCCAGATCAGTTGAGAAGGAAGCTTGATGATAAGTCGAATCAGATGATCTTGATAGGATATCATTCGGCAGGAGGTTACAAGTTGTTCGACCCAGTGAATAAGCAGGTAGTGATCAGCAAGGATGTGATCATAGATGAGCTTAAAGAATGGGATTGGACTGAGAATGCCAAGAAGGATTCAGTGAGAATCTCTTGTGAAGAACCAGCCACTGAAGTCGAAATAGAAGTTCGACAGGAACCAGTTGCAGATGAAGCAGGTTTAAGCAGACCACGACGAACAAGACACATGCCTGCAAGGTTGCAAGAATGTGTAATTACATCAGATGATGTAGTCGATGAAGAGGGTGAGTTGGTACATTATGCTTTTTATGCAGATGTCGAACCTGTCAATGCAGCTGAGGCATTGAAAGATTCGAAGTGGATGAAAGCAATGATTGAAGAGTTGGAGTCCATCGAAGTCAATGATACCTGGTCACTTGTTGAATTGTCGCAAGGCAAGAAGGCAATTGATGTGAAGTGGGTTTACAAGGTGCAGGTAAATCCTAAAGGAGAAGTAACTCGACACAAGGCGAGACTTGTGGCGAAAGGATTTCTTCAGAAGGAAGGAATCGACTTCGATGAAGTATTTGTAAGAACACAGATTGTTTCTTAGTAATATCTCTATGTTTTGATGATAACACTTATGAAATTTGTATTCAAGAATTATATACTCTAAATTTGTTCTAGACTGTTTGCTACAGGTACTAAAGAAAATATTCTTAAAAGAGCAAATTTGGATCTGAACAATGATATTATGAAAGGCTTCAAAGGTTCAAGAGCATCTTAGATGAAGATCTGAACACTGCCTCCAAAAGAATCTGAGTGATGTCTACTGAAGATTCTGAAGCAAAAGTCTCTAAAGAATAAAAGACTCTGAGAGTTCAGAAGCTTAGTCATCAGAAGACTCTGAAGATACTGCACTGTATAAGTATTGAGAATCTGATATAGAAGACTCTGCTCTGACAGAATTACACGCTCAAGCACACAAGCTGCACATACTCTGATTCAGCACAATCTGAAGAACATCCCAAGACTCTGAAGATCCAGAAGATCTCTACTTTGGAGATTCTGAAGATCCAGACTCTAATGTTGATAGCTGAAC